TTTCACCTATAACACGGTAAGATTTTTTGGCTCCCGAGGACAGTGTTATATCAAGATAGAGGTGTATTACAGAAGCACTTCAGAATTATGAACATCTTGGGAATAGAGGTTGTTCGCAATTCTGAAATGTTCGTAACTCTGAACAAAATGTTCTTTCAAAGTTTACAGCTGAACATTGCCTTAATACAGCTTTGAAACTTTACTCTGCAGAAGAAAAATGCTGCTTTCCCTTTATTTTTTTAGTAGTTTATGTTTAACAGTACTGTATTTGGTTGGTTTTGGTTTTTGGGGCGGTTTGTTTTTTTTGGTCTCTGCTGCTGCCTGATTGCGTACTTCCAATTCCAAATGAGGTGTGTCGTTGACTGGTCAGTACATAACTCTGGTGTTAGTAACTCTGAGGTTGTACTGTATATACATATCAGTTGTATACTGTGAATATATCTTTGCATATAGATATATCAATAACATTCATGGTTATTTCCTCATTTTTACAAAAATCCTGTGGTGTTGGTACTCCAGTATATATAGTAAATTTGTTTGTGGCTGTCATCCATTATGGGATACTCGAATAGAGCAGTGTGATATATTCCTGCTACAGTAAGCAGATGTAGGTGACTTCAAGTTAGAAACATAATTAAATATATATGTGGACATCTGTTCATTTGGATCCTTAGCTTTAAGGATGTGTTTCCCACCATTGAGTAAGAAAAGAATTTTCCATTTGCATTTGACCTTTCCCTTACAAATCTCTCTCCTCCCCCTCCCTCCTTTTTTTGATATACTAAGGACGAGATTTTCAAAAGGGCTCAGCATTGGCCAAATTTTGCTCCCACTGAAACCAGTGGTAAAACCCCTATTGCCTTCAATGGGACGACTTACAGGGACAAATCTTCAGCTGGAGTAAACTGTTGTATCTTCATAGACTTCAACTGAGCTGTGATGATTTATACAAGCTGAGGATCTGACCCACAGTGAACCAAGTTAAGCACATGCATAAATCTTTGGAGAACTAAGGCCATAACATTTATTTTTAGAGGTTTTTAAGGCCCAGTTTGACAAACCGGTTTGGCTGGGATGATTTAGTGGGTGTTGGTCCTGCTTTGAGCAGGGGGGTTGGACCTCCTGAGGTCTCTTCCAATCTTAATCTTCTATGATTCTATGATTTTGGTCATTCAGAAATATATAGAAGTGGAAGGGACCTCGAGAGGTCATCTAGTCTAGTCCCCTGCACTCAAGGCAGAACTAAGTATTATCCAGACCATTCCTGACAGGTGTTTGTCCAACCTGCTCTTAAAAACCTCTCTAGGCAATTTATTCCAGTGTTTAACCACTCTCATAGTTAGGAAGTTGTTCCTAATGTCCAGCCTACACCGCCCTTGCTGCAATTTAAGACCATTGTTTCTTGTCCTATCCTCAGTGGTTAAGAAGAACAATTTTTTTTCCTTCCTCCTTGTAACAGCCTTTTATGTACTTGAAAACTGTTATGTCCCCTCTCAGTCTTCTCCAGACTAAACAAACCCATTTTTTTCAATCTTCCATCATAGGTCATGTTTTCTAGACCTTTAATCATTTTTGTTGCTCCTCTCTGGACTTTCTCCAATTTGTCCACATCTTTCCTAAAATGTGGCACCCAGAACTGGACACAATACTCCAGTTGAGGCCTAATCAGCGTGGAGTAGAGCGGAAGAATTACTTCTCGTGTCTTGCTTACAATACTCCTGCTAATACATCCCAGAATGATGTTTGCTTTTTTTGCAACTGTTACACCGTTGACTCATATTTAGCTTATGATCCATTATGACCCCCAGATCCCTTTCCGCAGTACTTCTTCCTAGGCAGTCATTTCCCATTTTGTCTGTGTTCAATTGATTGTTCCTTCCTAAGTGGAGGACTTTGCACTTGTTCTTATTGAATTTCATCCTATTTACTTCAGACCATTTCTCCAGTTTGTCCAGATCATTTTGAATTTTAATCCTATCCTCCAAAGCACTTGCAACCCCTCCCAGCTTGGTATCGTCCGCAAACTTTATAAGTGTACTCTCTATGCCATTATCTAAATCTTTGATGAAGATACTGAACAGAACCGGACCCAGAACTGATCCCTGCGGGACCCCACTCGTCATGCCCTTCCAGCATGACTGTGAATCACTGATAACTACTCCCTGGGAACGATTTTCCAACCAGTTATGCACCCACCTTATAGTAGCTCCATCTAGGTTGTATTTCCCTAGTTTGCTTATGAGAAGGTCATATGAGATAATATCAAAAGCCTTACTAAAGTCAAGATATACCACATCTACCGCTTCCCCCCTATCCACAAGGCTTGTTACCCCGATAAAGAAAGCTATCAGGTTGGTTTGACACAATTTGTTCTTGACAAATCCATGGTGTTATTTATCACCTTATTATCTTCTAGGTGTTTGCAAATTGATTGCTTATTTGCTCCATTATCTTTCCGGGTACAGAAGTTAAGCTGACTGGTCTGTAATTCCCTGGGTTATCCTTATTTCCCTTTTTATAGATGGGCACTATATTTGCCCTTTTCCAGTGCATATGATCTCTCTATTTGTTTACTTCATATTTCTTTATTAGTAATTGTTAGTCTTAAGTATTTCTATTTTTTACTTTACAACTCTTTCTATACCTCATGCCTTAAGCTGATTATATTTTTAAAAAATCAGAAACGAGGGCACTTTTGTGGTGAATTTTTTTAGAGTCACAAAACAGTTATTGCAAAAACCAGAGTAACTTTTTTTTTTTTTAATGGGCTGATTTTGCTACTGACTGCTTCCAACTCAACAGCCACATGGGAGTAAAGGATTGTTCTCAGTAACTCAGTGTCTGCTTGAGTTTATCATGAGATTCTGACCGAGTGTCATTAGCATTCGCTCTGAGCAAAAGAACAGCTCTGAGACCATCTACGCTCATTCGACTTTTCTCCTCACTCCAAACACCATTAAGCACCTGAAACCTGGTTCCGCCAGCCAGGCAAACGTAGAGCCAATTCTACCACTAGAGCAACACATCTAGAACAAACACTTTGTAACTATAAATGAACCCAAATATTTTGTCTGATGAAATTAAAATCTGGCACATTTCTAGAATTCCAAAAGAAGTTCTCAGGACACAGGGAGATCAAGGAAAAATAAGGCTGTCTCTGTACATTCAGGCAGTATGGCGACTCTTCATTTGCATATTAATTATACATATACAAACTCCAAAATGGCCCAGATTTGCTAAATTTCGAGACATGCTGCATTTGTTTCTCCTGGACTATGAAGAGAGGTAGAAGGCCTCAGTGGAGGCTGATATATGGATGATTATGATCTGCCACTTGGTACAAATATAGTTTTGGGTTTGTAACATTAAATGATTCTCAGGGAGGTTCAGAGCCAGTGTCTGGGCACCATTCATGATTTGGAATCAAATGAAAATAAAATAATATAAAGAAATATGGCAAGAGAGAAAACAACACTAAAACAAGTGGAAAACTGGTGAACAAAAAACATTAGGAAATAGTTATTGGAGATGGGATTTTACAATCATTACTAATATGCTCTTTAACTTACATGTATTTTGTGCAAATGAAAAGTGGTTAAAGTTAGGCTGGCTGAAGAGGTGCAAGAAGCAGGGGTGATAGCTAATGTAGATGAAATATACAGCAGTAGTGAAGTAGTAACTGCCAGTAGTAACCGGTAAGCTTGAGACTTTCAAGGCTAGATCCTCAGCTAATGTAAACTGGCAAGCGCCTGCTAATTTACAGCAACTGTCAGGATTAGTTTGCTAACTTCATTAATTATTATTAATTGTATTGCAGTAGCACCTAGGGATCCCAAATAAGATCAGGGTCCCCATTGTGCTGGGCACTGTACAGACACAGAGTAAGATATAGCCCATGCCCTGATGAGCTTCCAATCTAAATAGGATCTGACCCTCACTCTTCTGAGCTCCTTCTGGAGGTAGAAGAATTAGCCTGTGGAAATTAATTACAATCCATTTTCTGGGAATCAGGGCCTCTCATCTGAGATACACTTTCAACCTTAACCGTTTCCTCCTAACAGTGGTGGTAGTGTTGTTTAGGGGGAGAGGAGGGCTAAACAAGTAACCTAGGGAATCTCTAACCTACTAAAGCAAAACTCTGTATAATCCTCTCAGGATAAGAAACCAAGGGGAAGGACAAATTAATCTGCCACTAAAATGATGCAAAGGCAATGAAAGCTAAATAGATCTCAGAATCTTTATTTAGCATAGCTCTCCTCCTCCCTTTGTCTGTTGTTACCCCCCTCTCTGGGTTGCATCATACTGTAAACTTCTAAGGGCAAAGGACCATCCCTTCTTCTATTTCTATAAAGTACCAAGCATCTCAATGATGCTGCAGATATAATAATTTATTACAATGACCATGCCACCATTTTAACTCTGGGCTGGGGGGACCTGGCATCGAAACAGATAGGAATCTGCTCATGGAGTAGGAGGGGCAGATTTTGCTGGGGGAGGGGTCATTCCTCCAGCATCCCCATAGACCAGGGATATGACGATGCAGTCACAGCACTAGGTGTTTAACCTCTTATCTGTGTCTAAACCTGCCCCTATGGGTGGAACCAGTCCTGGGAAGGGGAGGCACAGCGACACTGTGTGTGTGTGTCTGGACAAGTAGCTACGCTTGCCCCGCCACATAGAAAGCCCTGGAGAGGAGGAGATTCATAGATTTAAAGACCAGAAAGGGCCATTATGACCATCTAGTCTGACCTCCTGCCTAACACGGACCAGAGAACCTCACCCAGGGATCAATCCATATATTAGCACCACCAGTATTATGTTCCTGACTCTGGGAGGTGTGGAGGGGACAGACTCTCTCAAATGGGTTCTGGGGACTACGGGGCTGATCCCCCTGAAGGCTACGGAGGAAAGGAGAATCTGACTCAGGCACTTTAGAGACACACCTCCTCCTCCCCACCCACCCCACAGCTTCTAACACCAGAGGTTGTAGGGATCCTTACCCAATGAGATCACATTCTCATAGTTCTCCTGCATCTCGTCCGTGGGATCCAGATTCGCTCACTCACTGCCCCTCGGTGGAATACACAGCTGCCTCCTCAACGGTAACCGGTCCCTGAAACAGCCAGAGACCCTCACTCAGAACCTGCTGGCCCAGCCTCAATCCCACCAGCTCAGCCACAGGAACCCTAAGTCGGTCCCTCTGCTCTCTCTCTCCTACATGTCCCTCCCTTAAAGTGATGGTTATACATTCCCATATGATTCTTTCTAGCCTCTCCACCAAGCCAACCCTCATTTCTGGGTGAGCACCAGACCGTCATCTCCCCCTGAATGGCTGTTCTGGCCCTATAAATGTAGTAAACCACTGACAACAGGGATACAGGATTGGGGCAGGCTCTTTATTCTAATAGAGCACAGCCAGGCACATCGTGAGCTCTGCACTCCCATTTCTCTCATCTCCTTTCTCTTGGTAGCAGTAGGGACCATGTTTGGGCTATGGCAGGAATGAGAAGTTTTGGGTTGAAACTTCCTAGCGATGATGCTCTAAGTGAGCCCAACCTGCCAGGGAACAAAAAGCGGATGTAATTCTGCAGCCTGTCATGGGGAGAAGGGGGGGAGGGATAGCTCAGTGGTTTGAGCATTGGCCTGCTAAACCCAGGGTTGCAAGTTCAATCCTTGAGGGGGCCATTTAGGGAACTGGGGTAAAAATCTGTCTGGAGATTGGCCCTGCTTTGAGCAGGGGGTTGGACTAGATGACCTTCTGAGGTCCCTTCCAAGCCTGATATTCTATGATTCTATGACTGGGGAGGTTTCAGAAGGGGCTTTAGTCAATTTCACACCCTCAGTTCCCCCCGTTCTTTCCCTGCAGACAGACACTCTGCAACCCATGCTCAGTCATTTTATTACAGAGCAGATTCAGCCCCTCTCCCTATATTAACACACACCCCTCCCCCCCCAGTAACAGAGTTTCTGAACCAAATGCTAGAAAAGCACAGAATCGAAGGTGCCACTTTGGGCGATCTCTAGGGCTGCCAATTTTCATTGGAGGTACTCCTGGAGGTTTCCTCACATGACAGAATCTTTAATTAACGATGAATCTTTAATTCCTGGAGGTTTGGCAACCCTAGGCAGTGGTTCTCAACCAGAGGTTCGGGGCCTCCTGGGGGGCTATGAGCAGGCTTCAGGGGGGCTGCCAAGCAGGGCCAGTGTTAGACTTGCTGGGACCCAGGACAGAAACCCAAAGCCCCACCGCATGGGGCTAAAGCCTGGGGTTCCAAGCTCCGCCACCTGAATCAAAGCCTGAGCAACTTAGCTTCACAAGGGCCCCCTGTAGTGTGGGGCCCTGGGCAGTAGCCCATCTTGCTATCCCCTAATGCTGGCCCTAGCTTTTATATGCAGAAAACAGTTGTTGTGGCACAGCTGAGCTATGGAGTTTTTGTAGCATGCTGGGAAGGCCTCAGACAGAAAAGGATTGAGAACCCCTGACCCTAGGGGCAGCCCCCCCCACCCACACACACACTATTCCCAGGGCAGCGCATCCCCACAGCAGCACGGGGACCAGGCAAAGGCAGGAACTAGCTTTTCCTCTCCCTGCTCCTCCCCAGGAAAGTCAATCTGCCCCGGGGAGCTGCAGTGAATGGGGCTGGGCAGGGCTGGGAGCCGGGACCTCCCTCCCCACTGATTGCTCCTGCTGCCCCTTCCCATCTCCTTACCCCTCTTCCTTCCTCTGGCTGGGGAGACTGGCTTATTGTTGCATTGGTCGCGGGGGCGCGTTGGCTCTGCCCGGAGCAGGTTGGGCTGGTACAGGCGCTAAGAGCGGACAGAGCCGGGGTGTGTCCGGGCGGGCAGCAGCAGCAGTGCTGGGACTCCGGGGCGGTAAAAAGCAGCCCTTTCCCGAGTCACTTTCCTGCCCATCCCCAGCACTTTCCCCGAGTTCGCTCGCTCTCAATTACCTGGAGCTTCCGGTTCAGTGGAGCTGATGTCGGACGGCAGGGGCCAGGGGCTTCCCCGGGCAGCTCAGTGCCGTGAGAATAAGTCCTATAGCGCCCGGGTTTGTTGCAGCCCGGGTTGGGTATGGGGAAGGACACAGGAAGGGGATGGAGCAGCTGAGAGTGGCTGTAGCTAGGTGCTGGGTGGGAGGAGGAGGAGAGACAGGAAGGGGGAGGGGGGATAATACAGAACAGAGGGATCCCCCTAGCCCGTGGTGGGGCTGGCTCTCTTTCATTACAGCTGCAAAGAAATCAAGCTACCTCCATTGTGAGCCGGGAAGCTGGGCTGTGCTGGGGAGGTGTGATCTTGCCAGCCAGGGACTTTCTCATTGTTGCGATTGTTCGCCCTGGCGTCCTAGGGCAGCCCCGGGCTCTGCCGACACCAGCTCCCGAGCCGGAGCCTGCAGGTAACTGAGAGAGACCCCGGGGGGAAAGGGCTGGGCAGCAAACAAACACGACCCCTCCTCTCTGCCAGTCCCTTCACTGACACCCTCTGGCTCTGGCTCCCCTGAGCCCCTGCAGGAGCCGAGCCAGCCAGCGGGACAATAGCCGTTAGCCACTGGTTTATTAGCCAAAAGTTTGGTAACTCCCAGTGGTACTAGCAAAAATTTGCCCCACGGGGAGTGATTCCTGAGGTCACGTTGTCACTGGTGGCAAAGTTCCTTCCTGCATGTTAGGGCTTTTGTTCGGAGGCTTCCTTTCGGCACCGATCCTTTTCTTCTTCAGCCGCCCTGTTAGGAAATACCCTAGCTCGGTACAAAGGCTGGGATTTCTGAAGGCTTTAAGGAGATTAGCACCCGACTCCCATTGTCTTTCAAGGAGAGTTGTGCACCTCTGTGTCTTCTTCCCCTTTGGAATCTAAATCCACATATGCCCCAATCACCGCACCTCCCTTCCTGCATCGCCTGCTGCCTGCACCTGCAAAGATTTCAGGTACTTGTTGTAGCAAATCCTCTCCCCTCTTCCAGCCAGCTGCCATTAAAATGCATGCATGAGCTTCCCCACTTGTCTTGTCCCGTCCCTCCGGCTCTAGGGAGAGACCAGGGTAAAATCCTCAGCAGGTGTAAATCAGTCTGCCTCCTTTGGCTTCAGTGCAGCCACAGTTGATTTACACCAGAGGGGATCTGGCCCCCAATGTTTTATAGACACCCAAACTCTCACTATATGAAACTTTGCAAAAACTTGTAAACCTTTTTATAAACCTTTAAATGTTCACAGATTCCATCAGGCAGCATCTGCGAACACTTTTGCCGACGGCCACCTGTTTCAGTGGGGTTGGGTCACGGTGATAGGCCATGGGCTCTGCCCCACTGAAGGTCAATGTATACCTCAGACTGGTGCAGGGGGCAGCAATCCCAGGCCCTTATGGGACTGTGGAACTGAGAGGGGGGATGCTTCTTGTTTTAGGGGCTGGTGGCCTTCGACGTCTGTGTATCTCACCATGGATCAGTGGGCTGCTGTGGATTCTGATCAGAAACCTTTGTGCAGGGGTGGCATACAGGAGAACGATGATCCCCTGGTGACTCTGAGTAAGTATCCCCTGGAGGCTGTGGGGTCTTTGCAGCTGCCAGGTCAGCTTCTGAGCAGGGTTCTGCTGTGGACCCTTCCACAGAACTCAGCACAGAACAATGGGAAGGAGGATGGTTGTGCAGTGAAAGGGACGGACCCCCCGCAGACTCCTGGGGACAGAGGAAAGGGACAGGTTTCCATAGGAGAAGCAGAGTTGAGGGGACATCTAGGCAAAAGTGAGGATGAGAAGACAGGGCAAACGCCTATCCAGTCCCGCTATTGACCGAGGTCTCCCTAAGGGAACAAGGGGAAGAACCATGTGTCCCGGGGCTCAATGAAAAGAAGAGCCCTAGAGATGAGGAAAGAATTAAATCAATGTGGGATTCCCCTTCAGCTCCCCCAGGATCATGTCTCCAGCAGGTGGATCCTCCGGGCTTCCCATCCCCAGCCTGACACCTGGCAGTAGCTCCCTTCTCCCTGAAGCTGCAGATGGGAAGTTGGGGTAGGGTGGGTCCCATCCTCTCTCTGCTCTAGGGAAGGGTTTGGGGTGCGGGGAGGGCGGATTTGGCTTCTGGTCTTTCAGCGTGTCTCAACAGTTATTTGGGTTTGTTCCTCCACACCCCGGTGCAGGGCCTGACTCCTGTGCGGATTCTCTCCCTATCCCAGCCGAGGACAGGGCAGCGAGTGAGACCGAGGAGGAGAATCCTGGGGAGGAAGGCCCCGAGATTGTGGAACTAGATCCAGTGTTGCTGGGTAGGCCGGAGGGGGCTGGGGCCAGGAGCCCAGAGGAGCAGGGCCCGGCCTGCGAGAGCCTGCGTTGGACGGTGGTGCAGCAGATCGACTCCCCCGGGAAGCCGGTGCAGCGGCGGGGCGGTGGGGGCAAGTCGGCTGGCGCCGGCTTCCAGAACTTCAAGAGCATCATCGTGCTGCAGAAGAGCTATGAGTGTGGCGAGTGCGGCAAGACCTTCAGCTGCAGCTCGCACTTCAGCAAGCACCAGCGCACCCACACCGGTGAGAAGCCCTTCCGCTGCCTGCACTGCGGGAAGAGCTTCAACGTCAGCTCCAACCTCTACCGCCACCAGCGGGCCCACGCTGCTGAACGGGCCTGCCCACGCCCCGAGAGCTCCCCACCGCCGGTGCCGGCCAGCACCCCTGCCCCTGCGACCCCTCGGCCCCGGGGGCTGCCCTATAAGTGCGAGGAGTGTGGCAAGAGTTTCCGGCGCAACACGGAACTGGTGACCCACCAGCGGCTGCACACGGGGCGCCTGCCCTTCCAGTGCGCCCACTGCGGGAAGAGCTTCTCCTGGAGCTCCCACTTCGACCGGCACCAGCGCATCCACACTGGCGAGAAGCCCTACCAGTGCCCTGAGTGCGGGAAGTGCTTCAGCCGCAGCTCCCACCTCTACCGGCACCAGCGCACCCACTCCGGGGGCCGCTCCTACATCTGCACGTACTGTGGGCGCAGCTTCAACAGCACCCTGCACTTCGACCGGCATCAGCGCACCCACACTGGCCTGCGCCCCTACAAATGCACCCTGTGCGGCAAGGGCTTTGGTGATGGTCTGGCCCTGGTCAAGCACCAGCGCCTGCATCTGGGGGATGGGCCCTTCCACTGTGAAGAGTGTGGCAAGAGCTTCGGGGCGAGGGCACAGTACGCCCGGCACCGACGCAGCCTACATGGCTCTACTGCCGGTAGCACTGGCAGCGAGAAGCCCTACCGCTGCGGTGACTGTGGCAAGAGCTTCTCCTGGAGCTCCCATTGGGAGCGGCACCAGCGTATCCACACCGGGGAGCGCCCCTACCAGTGCAGCGACTGCGGCAAGCGCTTCGGCCGCACCTCCCACCTCTACCGGCACCAGCGCACCCACGCTGGCGGCCAGCCCCACGTCTGCACTGACTGCGGCAAGAGCTTCAACAGCACCCTGCATTTCCACAAGCACCGGCGGGCCCACGCTGGCGAAGCCCCCTGCCACGCCTGCCCCGACTGTGGCAAGGCATTCGCCGACGGCTCCGCTCTGGCCAAGCACCGGCGTACCCACACCGGAGAGCGGCCCTTCCCTTGCCCCCAGTGTGGCCGGCGCTTCAGCGTCAGCTCCCACCTGTACCGCCACCTGAGGAGCCATGCTGAGGAGAAGCCACTGGAGGAGATCGCGTCCTACTAGAGATCAACTCCTCTTTCCCCTTTGCCTGGGAGAGGAACCCCCCCACGCTGGAGGTTTAGCTCACCGGGACCTGGCTGCCCCTCTCTGGGCACGGGAGTGAACTCCATGCGCTGCCAGCCAGAGCGTTAGTGGGGCTTACCTCACAGGGACCTGGCCATGGGGATCGCTGACCCTCAGGGGTAGCTGAGACCTCTAGGAGAGCACCGGGCAGCCCCGTTGTGGGCACCCCGGGGCCACAGGGACGGGTGCAGTGTAAGGTCCCAATCTGGAGCCCCTTGAAGGGCTCTGCGTCGATGGGGTCTGGATCAGGCCCTGAGGATATAGGTAGATAAGGTAGATTAGGTAGGTAGGATAGGTAGGAGGTAGAGCAGAGTGGTGGCAGTGCTAGGGGGCTGGGCGGGGTGGAAATAAGAGAGGGAAATGGTGTGGGATTGAGGGCGTATTACCCTCTTGCTCACTCTGGTGTAAATCAGGAGTAACCCCACCGGAGTCACTGGGGCCAATTCCCTTCTCACTCACCTCGGTGTAAATCAGGAGTAACCCCACTGGAGTCACTGGGACTGGTTCTCCTCCCCTCACCCTGGTGTAAATCAGGTGTAGACCCACAGGAGTCCCTGAGGTCAATTCCCCTTTTGCTCACCCCAGTGTAAATCAGGAGTAACCCCACCGGAGTCACTGGGGCTCAGTGCAGTTGCAGGAGTGTGAGATGGATCAGGCATTGAGCACCTGCAGGCTGGGGCGAATGATTGATCAGAGCTGAGGCGGGAGGCAGTATCTGGGGATCAGGTAGGTGGGGCGGGAGATGGTGAGAAAGATGGGAGCCAGAGGGGGAGGGGAAATGAAGTATTTGGGGATCAGGGTGGCTGTGTAGTGGGCGCGAGAGAGGGCTGTGGGTGATGGAGGACTGGCATGTCTGTGGACTGGGCTGGTGGGGCAGACCATGGCACTGCTTGGGTCTCAGAGCTGAGGAGGATGGGACCAAGTTTACTGCCACTCCTTTTCTGGGTTTCCATGCCCTATCCCCTGCCTCCTGATCAACAGGACCCAGGAGGAGAAGAAACCCTACCACATGGAACCCCCCTGCAAGCCATCCCATCCAGGAGGGGAAATGCAGGGGACTCAGCATGGAGAGAGCCTGAGAGGGGGAGAGAGCTTGGTGTGTAATGCGCCTTACTCCAGCAGGAATGAGACAGAAAACCTTAGAGTAGCATGTGATTAACTTGCAGAGTTCACAGCTACAGGAGATGACTGGGGCAAACAGCTCAGCAAAGCCCTCTGCCAGCTCCATGGAGCAGTCTGGGGCTGTTGACTTCCAAGCGACTTCCTGCGTGTGTGAAAATCTCCCTTAGACACAAGCCGCCCCAGTCCTGATCCTAATTCAGAGCATGAGGGACAAGAACCCGCTCTCCCCTGGTCTAGGGATATGGTGGGGGTGAGTTTCTGTAAAGGAAAGAAGCTAATCACTCCTGAAATAAGCTATCCAAGCTGGGGCTCAGAAAGTCGTGAGCTTCATCAGCTACACTTGTTGGAAGGATCCGGGAGGTATTTATGTACCAGGAAATCTGTTGTTGTTAGAGGTCAGATTCTTTGTTGGTGTCAGTTGGCATCCAGGGACTTCTTCCCATTTATCCCAGGTGATAAGTTAACCCTTTCGCTACAGTAGGCTTGGGCCTTGTCTACGCATCAAAGTTGAGTTGCTTTATAACTCGATGGGTACGGTTAAAGCAGTACAATCCTCACCCCCTTTAGTATGAATGTTATCATCATCATCACAGCAAATCCCTGCAGATTGAGCGCTATCCAAATTGATTTGTAGCTAGATCCTCAGGATGGTCTGGTTGGATGGTCAGTCTACACTGGTGAGCTTATCAAAGTCTTTGACGACCATGTGATCGCTGGCTGTGTAGCAGTGTTCCTTGGTAACTGCACTTTGTAATTCATTATTACTCCTGAGGGCATTCTGTGCAAAAAAAAAAAAAAAAACGGCACCAAAAAAATTAAAATTCTGCGCACAGTATTTTAAAATTCTGCAAATTTTATTTGTCAAATAAATGTGGAGGCTCCAGCATGGCATTGGGGAGCACCGGCCACTGGCTGCACAGAGGTGGGAAATCACTGTGCAGCTCCCTCCCGAGACACAGACTCAACGGTCAGGCTGCACCCAACCCTGACACACCGCAAGGACAGGGCGTGCCCCAGAAACACCCCAGGGCCCTGCCCCTCTGTGCCAGATGCACCAGGTAGGCTAAGCAAGACCAGATCTTAGTGGGGGGGGGGTCCAGGTGTGGGTTGAGAGGGTTCTGTGTGGGGCCATCTGGGTGTGGGTGGGTCAGTGGGAGATCCAGGTGTGGAGGGGATCTGAATGCACAGGGGATTGTTGGGGGGTTCTTGGTGCAGTGGTAATGGGACTCTGCAGGGGGATCCAGGTGAAGGTGGTTGGGGCTCAGCATGGGGGTCTGGGTATGTGGGGCTCAGTGGGCCCTCCAGATGCTGGGGGAGTGGGGCTCAGTGGAGTGGGGATCCAGGTGCAACTGGTCGGGACTTGGTGAGGTGGGGATCAAGGTGTGGGTGGCTCATTGGGGTGGTCCAGATACAGGAGGAGTGGGGCTCATTGGGGGTTCTGGGAGTGTGGGGGGGGTGAGGCTTGGGAAGATCTGGATATGAGGGGGTCTGGATGCACAGGGGTTGGGCGAATAGGGGGAGCAGCTCCCTGTACAATGATCCCTCCCCCTGCAGCTGAGGAGCAATGATCGTAGGAAGTGGAGGGGAGTTTGCAGAGCTTCTTGCAGCTGGGGGAGAAATCTGGGGGTGGGTCTGAGCCAGCCCCATTCGCCGTGCAGGGAAGGGGAAGTCCCGTCCTCCCCAGTCCAGACTAGCAGCTGAGCCAGGCACAGGGTAGGAGTCACCAGCCAGGCCTTCCTCAGTTCCGCCTCCTGCCCCACAGTGATTTACCTCTCTGCTGGCTGCCCTGGGCACCCAAAACATACTGCTGGGGAGGTTCTCATGACCTTTCTTGTGGCTTCCCTTTGCTTCCCAATCAGAAAGTCATTTTTCTGCAGGGAAGCAAAGAAATTTGCGGGGGACAAATTCTGCATATGTGCAGTGGTGCAAAATTTCCCCAGGAATATTCATTAGTCTTTCATCCTAATAATACATCGGTACCAAGACTCACCAAAACTGAACTAGGGCTGATGGAAGCAGTTGCTGTTCGGCTACAAATATCCTCATTGCTGATCTTGTCTCGACGCTTGAGATGGAGCAGTTGGCGAAGATCACATGAGTTGTATGGATACAAAGGTGCCCTCTCTCAGTATAACTGTTCCCATAAAGGAAAGGGAATAAACTCTACCATCATAAGACATCTTTATGCCGATATAACTGCCTCTGCACTAGGGGTTGTTCCTACTATACTATTCTGATGGAAAATCAAACTCCTATCCCATATAGCTAATCTAGTCCAAAAACTGTGTGTAGACAAGGCCTGAAAATGTCCCACTGCTGCTACCACTGGTTCTGCTTTTCCATTGGTGTGAGAAGTGGGAGCCCTAATGTAGACAGAGTGCTTGTGGCTACCAGCATGTTAAGCACTAATGTGTAAGCCAATTCTGTGCATGTCAACACAGTGCTTCAAATGCTGGTCTGTTCCTGGAGCCCTGCCTAAAGTAGCACTCACCCCATTGTTACCACAGGTGGAGCTGAACTGGCTCTCACAATAGTGGGAAAACTTGGACAACAAAGCCTACGTCCCTTGTGGAGGCAGCAGTCCTTTCACGTGGGGCCGGTTGGGAAGCTCCAGATTGGGTGACCCTAGCTGGGCATTGGTTTTGACTGGACACTTGGTCACCTGGCTGGGTTGGAGCGACACATGCTACTGAGCGATGGCCCAAGCAGAAAAGGGCTATTGGCTGGAGTTAAAGGTGACCTGCAAAGGGATTTTGCTTTCTTTTATGCTTGTTTTTTATGTTAGAAATTCTGGTCTTGTTTACCCTGGAAGACTCTACAGTGCCTGGGGAACCAATGAAGAGAGGACATCCCAAGAAAATGGAAATTGAGCAATTGGAAAGAGAAGGGATTTTTGATCAGCCTATTGTAAAACTTTCTTTTTTTATTAATGCCTGTTTCACTCCAGTACCTATATAACACCTGTGAAAAAAGAACATTGATGTTAACGATTAGGCAAGCTTTTCAAATGGGGCTGCCTAACAGTGGGTTCCTCTGTCCATATTTAGGCACCTAAATAATTATATTTTTAATATATTATGTAATTTTTAGGTGCCTAAATGTGAATTTCGGAGCCTAGCTTTAGGCATCTCAGCTCAAAAATATTGCAATGAAGACTCGCTGTCGATATCTCTAAGGGCCCAACAAGACATCCGGCCTAGCCAGGGGAGATGTGACTTGACATGCCTGACATTTCAAAGGTAAAAAACAAGCAGCCAAAAAGAAAAATGTAGTTACAAAAAATAAAATCTTTCCAGCCTTTGCTCTATGTCACCAGGAAACAAAGAAAGACACAGGTCTGGTTTTGTTTTCCAATCCACTGCAGGTCTCCTTCCAGCCATAGAATCCCAGCTCCAGAGCAAGGAGCCTAGGCAGAGAAGTAGTTTAGCGTGGGGGCTTGAACCCTGAGCTCTTTAGCTAGAGTTCTGAGAATGATGTTCACTCGACGTAAGCTCCACTGCCGTCCTTGCGGTCCGGTACTTCTCTGGTCCAGGGGAACTGGGACTGTGTGTATTGTGAATAAAATAGACTAGGGGGGAATATCCTGGGTTTGTGTGCAGTTATTTCTCTGCTAGAGAAGGGATTAGCCCCACTTTCCTAACAGCACCTTGCAGGGCAGACTGGCAGCACTGTGGTTAAACAGCTGGCCTAGAACTCAGGAGATCTGGGTTTAAATCCTGGCTCTGCTACAGATTCCTTGGGTGTGTCTTTGACTCCTTGGGTCCCCAGTGCCCCACAATGGGAATAATACTTCCCTGACTCTCAGGGGTGCTGTGTGGAGAACTCAATGTCAGTGAGCTACTCAGGCAGTACATATTCATGGCAAGGGCCAGGGGGTGTAATGGGCATAGCTACTTAACGGAACTGTGCCAGTTTATACCAGTTAAAGATCTCATTCAAAGGGGCCTGATTTCCCCACTGTGGCAGAATAAGGCAGTCTTATTTCAAAATAAGAGCTCCCATGCTAGGGTTTGTGCTCATTTATCAAAATCCGTTTCAATTCACACCTTGTTATACTGGTGCAGCTTTCTGGTGTAGACAAGTTCTCAGTGACTTCATACATACAGACAGCAGCTTTCAAAGAGGACTTCTTTGGGCCTGAGTCTCATTTACACTAAGAGCTGGTCTAAACCAGTTTAATTAAAGGTATGCATATAAACTGATTTAGTTAAACCAGTACAAACCCTTGTGTGGATGCTCTTATTTCAGCTCACGTCTAAACATTAGTCAATAAAAATCCCATGAGATTTGTTTCAGCAAAGGAGGTGATGTTTAGGTGGTGGTGACGTTAGCAGTCAGCATGCATGGTATAGACACAGCGATGCCATGTCGGTGTCTGAATTGCTCCCAATATTCACAAGATAGATCAATTCACTTGCTTTGAACACTAGAGGGCAGCGTAACTCAAGGAAAGTCCCTCATTCAACCCATGAGGAAGCCCATTGACTTCAATGAACTGTTCCCACACATGAAGTTAGGGGTGTGCTAAATACCTTGCTGAATCAGGGTCAAAAAGAGGATCTGATTTATATAACCATAGATTTTAAGGCCAGAAGGGGGTCATTCTGATCACGTGGTTTCACCTCCTGCATCATACCCGGCGATTCCTGCATCCAGTCCATAACTTGCAGTAGAGTTAGAACAGATCTTTCAAGGCAGGTCGGCATTGCAAATTAAGGTGATTGCAGGTTGGAAAGGGATACCCACACTGGCTTCAGTTTAGCTAGCATGGCTAACAGTCGCAGTGAAGACACAGCAGCCCCAGTACAAGCCCACTACAAAGTGGCTAGCCTGCTGTTGTTATCCTCTCTAGCTAAATTAAAGCTAGCACCGAGTCTGTTTACCAGGCTGTAATTACACCACCAATTGCAGGGGTGACGTATCCTCAGAGATATTTAGGCGCACTGATTCCATTGACTTTCAATGAGACTGGTGTTCAATGACACTGGTGTTCCTAAACTGCTATCATCTGCTCTCTGCAAATCAACCTGCTTTAGGGGGATAGTTACAAAAGCACCTAGTCTGAGTGATGGAGGATCCACCGCATCCTTCAAGAAGCTGTTCCAATGGGTAATTCACATCAGGGTTAAAAATGCGCACCTCATTTTTGGTTTGAACTTTGCCAGCTTCAACTTTCAGCCATTGGATTTCAATTTGCCTTGAGACGGCGTAGACCATGATCACTGTATCTCTTAACCCTCCCCTTAAAAAGCTAAACAGATGGTGCTCCTTTGGCATCCCGTTTTCCAGGCCTTGAATCATTCTTGTAGCTCTTCTCTACATCCTCCGTGACCATTCAATATCCCTTTCAAACTGTGGACACCAGAACTGGACACAGCATCCCAACAGTGACCTCGCTAATGGTGCACGTCAGATAATATCACATCCCTACACTTGCTATTCCTGTTCATACATTCAAGGATCGCATTAGCCCTTTTAGCTATAACATCACACTGGGAGCTCATGGTAAAGTAATTTTCAAAGACACTGCTTCTCAGGGAACAGATTGGATCTTTAATTATTTG